TTTCTGCTGTCAGCCACACGGTCATACATCCGTAAACTGTAATAAAAAATCAATTTGCATAAAATGCGCAGGTCAACACAACACATGAACCTGCACTAAAATTCTAGATACACCTCCGACTTGCGCAAACTACAAGGCAACCACCCGGTCAATTATTCAAAATGTCCATAATTATAATTATCTTAGCAAGAGAAATGCTTACAAAGAAGCAAAAATTCAAACAACGCAAAAATACTAATCACCTGCACAAATACTCCCGCACCAATTTTCTCTTCTGACCCCTAGAAAAACTCTCGTTTCAACATTCTTCACACACAGACCAACTCTCTCACTAGACATGGACTCACATACGCAAGAACGGCCCAAGCATCTCCTCAGCCCCTGCAAACTGAAAAACATACAACCACAGATCTTAGGAGAAAGACATCAGCTCCAAATTAAACCTCTTTTTGAAGATGATCTGCCTGATACAAAAACTATACCAAATATACCAACAATCTGAACAGAATCAAAACGACCGTATTAATAGTTAAAGAACTGGAAAATGGCCAGTTATAAGAATACATTAAACATTTGTAGCGGCCTATAGTCCCTCGAGTACGAGTTTCGAACACCGACTTGTATAAGCCGCAAGTGGCTGTGCGCCTAGCATCGAAGTCTAGCGATATTCGATGTTAAGCAGAGTGTGGAACACCGCTAAGATGAGGACCGTCCAGCGAGTAGTTATAACAACAAGCGTCTGGGGTATAAGAGGTCGCTGCCATCAGCCCCACTGATGAATCTAGACAGCGACACTGAGACGAAACGCACAACCTTTCCTCACCTTACCCATTACCAAATCCTAATCCTACATCCTTCCTCCATCCTCGAACTAATTGTAAATAGAATGTAAATATGTAAATACCATAGTTATTTACTTCCCTTCACATTATTCTCCGGACACCACCAGCATTAAAAACAAAACAAATGAACTACATAGATTCCTCTCAGACCACAACGTTGCCATCATCAGAAATCTGGCTTACCCCTAAAGACGTTATCAAAATACCAAACCAAATACTATAGCATACACAGAAAATACGGTTCACTAGCAAGCGTAAACAAACCAAGAGGCAGTGTGCAAATTGCAATCCACAAAAACATGCGGAGGATGTCCCACAACCACTAACATTGAAATCAAAACAGTCCAAATTAAAACCTTCCCCTAACCACAGAAGCAACTTACGCAGCCCCAAAAACGAAGATTCTCCTAGGAATTCTGACATCATCATCCCACATGGTAACAGACACTACATCATAGGTTATGACTTTAATGCAAAGCATCGCATATGGAACAACAAAAGAAAACTCACATGGATCCACAATAAAAAATCACTCCGAACTACACAATTACTAAATCATCCATAGCCCAAAATATACGTACAAACAGCATAAATGTGTCCTATCAAATGCAAAAACTTTATATTTAAAAAAAAATTCAAGTAAACATGATTTTTCTCACAAAGTTATAATAAGACTTATATTTTTAATTATCTTAAAAGTTTGTTCAAATTACAAGTACGACTATTCGACATTTTGGAGTTGAATTTGATCGAATAATTTTGATCGAGTTCGAGCGAATATCTAAGACTCTCAGACAAGGATTATGTTGTCTATTTCGCTAGTTTCATCATTTCATGGACGGATCGGTGGCACAGTAACATACATATGTATGAACATACTAAACATACTAAAGTGTTATAACTACATTAAACGAATCGTATAACAATTCAATTGACCTTGTTTTAAAGTGCGAAGTCTTCACTTTGACAGCCTTATGTTAGTTTTGCAAGGATATTTTTATATCATTTTTAGATGCAATGGAAAAGCAAGTATATTTTTGTTCTCGAAAATTGTCAAAATTCAAATTAAAAAATTTTCATGATTAGATCCATAGTGGTCTTGAAGATTGAAATTTTTTTTTTACAACAATCTCTTGAAACTTACTGTTTTTTACCATTTTATTGAACATTGAACATTAGAGTTAAATGACAATTATTTCTTGAATTTTTGTTATTGAACTCTGATGTTCAAAATTCAAAAAGAAATCATACAGGAGTCGATGTGAAGGAAAGACCTGAAGATTTTTTTTCTATACGTGGAGGAAACCTTACATAGGAGATGACACCCAGCTGATAGAAGACACCCAGCCCATGTTACGGAGCTGAGTAGTGTCAGATTCCTACCGACTAAAACCTCCACGGTGGCCTGCATTATGTACTGATTCGAGGCTGCGGGACCGGAATATTCTCCGCTGCACCTGAAGATTATAAATTTATTCAAGAAAAATTTTTTTTCAGTGATTTCGGAAGCGTTTAAATTTTTACAATTTTTGACAAAAAAATACATTACTTTTTTATCCGCTGCATAATATAAAAACATCATTGGAAAAAACTCAAGGTTGGTAAAATAGAGATTTCACGCTTTAAAATGAGATTAATTAGATTATTATACGATTTTGTTTTACAAAGTTTAACCAGTTTAAAATATCGATTTTTCATCGAGCGTGTGAATACTTTTGTCTACCTAACACCATAATTTTCAACAATAAAGTGATATTCTGCGTTACAAATTGATCTAGGCATAGCTGATTTAATAATCTTCCTAAAACATCGAATATTCTACTCACCATCATAACAGGAATATCAATAAAATTATTGTTATGCTATACTTATATATTAATTTGCAATAATCTCATTGTCGTCATAATTACTACATAAATTTATTTTTATTTTCAATAATACATTCCTTAAAAATGATTAATTAATTTTTTAATACGTATGAATCATAAAATTGATGTAGAATATAATTTTATTCAATAATAAATACAATCTTTTTTTAACAGCATTACTACTTAACATTATTATTAAGAAAATTATAATTTATAAAATAATATAATAATTAATTGAAAAGATTTTATTAACATACATCACATTATAATTTTATTCATTTATTTATTTTACTAAATATCTTAACAAGACTTACAGGTCTCTGTAATAACTTTATATATAGGGTGTTCCAGTTTTTAATGTTCAAACTTTGTCAGTATATTCTATGGCACTAAATAAAAAAAAAAATGCTTATAAACATAGGTCATTTAAAGTTTTATTAAAAAGTTATAACACAAATATGAAATACAAGTGGAATAGTAACCGACTTGTTACTGCGAGCATTGGCTTGAATAAATCAGCAATATTTATATTTAATGTGTTTATGTAAGTATAAACTGTGTTTACTGAGGTCGCCAAAGACTTTGAAAGTAATTTTCGCCAGTAATAACTATTAGTAAGTTGTTGGACTTTATATCGAAATTATTTTTTTCCACAAGTATTTACGAATCGAAAATATGCATTTCATTTTCGACTTCTGCAATAGGAATGCCCGAGCTGCTGCAAGGGAGTACCAATGCAGATTCCCTGGACGAAGAGCACCGAATTACAGAGTGTTCATAAATTGTTACCAACACTTATTAACAACAAGATCCTTTGAATCATGTCTCGAAGGAAATGAATTCAACGGAGTTACAAGGCAACGAAATCGCACATCAATACTGAACTTTTTTGATAATAATTCAACAGCAAGTGTTCGTGATGCCTCGTATCAACTGGAGTTATCTCGATCAACTGTATGGCGAACTCTCCACTCTGATAACAGATATCCGTATCATTATACAAGGGTACAAGAGCTTATTTACCAGCTGATTATGAAAACGATTGAAATTCTGTCAGTATGTGCATGCAGTGCAACAAGATAATTTATTTCCATCGAAAGTATTGTGGACTTATGATTCGACATTTACGGAGGAGGAATTTTTAATGTGCATAATAATCATGTATGGGCAAGAAGAAATTCACACGTGACACGAACAGTTGCTTTTCAAATCAATTCAAATGCAATGTATGGGCAAGCCTGTACAATGGTATGATAGTAGGACTGTATTTTTTACCAGATCGGTTGACTTCAACTGCATTTTTGAATTTTCTAAGAAATGAATTATCATATCTTTTGGAAGATGTGCCATTGTATTCTGTGCAAAACAATGTGCCATTGTATTCTGTGGATGCAATTGAATGATTGTCCGGCACATTACGGAACACAAGTTCGGCAGTGGTTAATCGGTTTCCGTATAGATGGATAAGTCGACGTGGGCCAATTTCTTGGCCACCAAGATCGCCCGACCTTACGCCACTCGACTTCTATCTGTGGGGAACTTTAAAAGATAAAATGTATCGAACACGAATAAATTCGCGTAATGAATTAATACAAAAAATTAATAATGCGTTCAATGAAATGAAACAAAATAGAAACGACATTCGCACAGTTATAAATTCGATTTTCGATCACTGTCAATCATGTATTGTCAAGAACGGTGGACATTTTAAAATGGAGTATTAATTAACTCTGGAAGTGTCAATGTCAAATAGTAAATATATTGATCTATTCAAGCCAATGCTCGCAGTAACAAGTTGGTTACTATTCCACTTGTATTCCGTATTTGTGTTATAACTTTTTAATAAAACTTTAAATGTTTATGTTTATAAACATTTTTTTCTTATTTAGTGCCATAGAATATACTGACAAAGTTTGAACATTAAAAACTGGGACACCCTATATAGATTTTGTAGTTATACTTTTATTCACATTTATTTTATTAAACATTTACAGCGTTTTTTAATGACTTTATTTAAATAAATATAAATTTTGTAGCGAAACCAAAATTAAACTTTATCTCTATCGTTATTATACATGATATTCATTTAATTTGTGCTTCTAAATTAGCAAATAACACTCTTCATTCTTTTCTTATAGTTTTTATTATGAAATCTAATCTAAATCAATGAATTATGAAACAAGATCAAAATATCGTATTTATCATATATATGAAAGGAGTAAATTAAAATGTTATACATTTACATTTCTAATACATAGTAGCAGAAACAAATTGTAGTTTTCCAAATAAATTATTAAACTAGTAATGTAATTTTATTTCATTTAATTAATACATCAGTACATAATTCTTAAAATAATAATTAAATAATAATTATCTGCATATTAATTTTTAGATTTATTTCTTTTCTTAACAGAAACTCTAAAAACTTTTTCTATAGCAAGAATAATAGTTTTCAATACTATTTCATTCCATACAGTTTTAAAGGTCACCAAAGTACACGTTCAATTTATTTTGTAAATGTAACAACTAGAACTTTGTGTTAATAAAATATAATATATTTTAAGCATGAGGATTACGGAATTTCTCTCCTGCATATTTGGCAGCCGCGCCCAATTCTTCTTCAATACGAAGAATCTGATTATACTTTGCCAAACGTTCCGAACGGCAAGGTGCACCTGTTTTAATTTGACCAGTCGATAGACCAACAACTAAATCAGCTATAAATGTATCTTCCGTTTCTCCAGAACGATGAGAAACCATAGTACCCCATCCAGCGCTTTTAGCAAGTTTATGAGCATTAATTGATTCTGTGACAGTACCTATTTGATTAACTTTTAATAACAAACAGTTGCAAGCCTTTTTCTCAATAGCTGTTTTAATTCTGCAACATATAATAAATTCACAGTATCATTACTTGTATTATTACTTGAATTTTAATGAACACGATTACTTTTTAAAACTTATAAATTTTATATTCGATACTATTAGTAGTATAATTGTAAAATAAATTGTAAAATTAATATTTTTAATTATATCAATTTTCTATAAACTTGTAATTATATATTAAATATATAATTAAAAGAAATCTAAATTCAACTTTACCTTTCAGGATTTGTGACAGTGAGATCATCACCCACAATTTGAATAGGAGTAGAAGATGTTATAGAGGTCCATGAATCCCAGTCATCTTGATCAAACGGATCTTCAATTGATACAATTGGGAATTCCTTAACAAATTCTAAATATAAATTCTTCAAGGCTTGTGACTCCAAATATGTGCTGGGATCAGATTTTTCATTCTTAAAATCTAAATCATATTTTCCATTCTTATAGAATTCAGATGCAGCAACATCCATACCAATCTTGATTTTTCCTTCATATCCAGCAACCTAAATTGTATAATGATTATGAGTAATTTCAATAATTATTTTAGTACTATTAAATTTAATACCATAGGACAGAATTTTCCATAAATTTGTTGGTATAGAACTATTTTTTTCTAAACTTAACTAAAATACTTACTTTAATGGCATCTATAATCAAATTTAAAGCTTCTTTATTTTCAAGAATATTTGGTGCAAAACCACCTTCATCACCAACAGCAGTAGCATCAAGGCCAAATTTCTTTTTAATACCAGCCTTCAAATGATGGTATACTTCAGTACCCATTCTCATAGCTTCAGTGAAATTGGCAGCACCTGTGGGTAGAATCATAAACTCCTGCATTGCCAATTTATTTCCAGCATGTGAACCCCCATTAATAACATTGAAAGCTGGAACTGGTAAAATGATATCGGAATTTCCTGCCAATTCCGCAATATATCTGAAATTAAAATTATTTATTATATCTTAAATGCCAAGATTGTATTCATATTAAATATAAAATATAAAATTTTGTTTGTTTTATTATTTGAGAGATGAGATATTATTATTAGATTGTACATTAAACAATTATTATAGTAGAATACAATTATTTATATTGTGAATATAAATAAAAGCGTTCACGGATTTACTGTACAAAGTTTGTTCTTGTATGGATGAGAAAATGATTCTATGAAAAAATAAAACAGGACAAAGTTGTACTGTTTTTTATACACAACGTAATGGAACATAAAAATTTTTTCTAGTCATACTGTTTTTTGAGAACTGAAAATAATTTTTAATTTCTCAAATGAAATGAGAAATATATTTTTTTTATATTATATAAAAGCGAATATAAAGACAAATTCAACGATGTACCATTCAATAATTTTTACACTTACATAAAGTCAGGAGTGAAAGAAATAGTTTGGATATTGTGTATTGATGTACTTACCAGTATTTTATATTGAGATGTTTTGCAATAGTTTATATTCAATATGATTTCCATTTGCTAAAAGACACTTTTGTACTCTATGCAATACACTTTTGGTGACTTCTGCAATTTGTACTTGTGATATTAATGCACAAACATTTGTTATTTTTCGTTTCAAATTATTTACACTAGAAGGTGATACACTCTTTGGTACATTTATGACATGATAATTGCTATTATAAGAAAAACTTTTCACACTCGAAACTAAAATTTATGGGGAGCAAGCCTTTTCAAAATCATCATTTATTCTTGAAGGATGAAAAAAAATGTCTAAAAATTCCTAATTTGACATGCTGAGTCTGGAGCGATGTCATAAATAGTATGTACCGTTAGCTTTAACAAATAGTTTCATATATCTTAAACAATCTAACAATAAATAACAATACAAATCTAATCACAACATAAAATCACCAAAAGTATAAAAATATTTATATTGAACATGAACTGTAAACATCTCAATGTAAAATACTGATAGGTACATCAATACACAATATCCAAACTCTCTTTCATTCCTGACGTTGTTTAAATGTAAAAATCATTGAATGGTACATCATTGAATTCGTCTTCCTATTCGTTTTTGTATAATATAAGAAAAATATAATTCCATTTAAAAAAATAAAGATCATCTTCAATTCTTAAAAAACAGTATAACTAGAAAAAATTTTATGCACCATTATATAAAAAACAATACGATTTTGTCCTGTTTAATTTTTCCATAGCATCTACTGTTTACAAGAAAAAACGCTAAATACGTGATTACCTTGTGTGTGTGTATGTATGTATATGTATGTATGTATATATGTATGTATATATGTACATATGTATATATATGTATTTATTTATTTATTACTTATATCTGAATAATTTTAAAGTTAAATTATAAGTAAGTTGCAAGTTACAAGTAAATTAAAAATCATACTTATATAAAGGAGTTCCTTTTTTAGCAGCTCCTGCTTTACAAATTGCCAAAGAAACACCGAGAAGTGCATTTGCACCAAGTTTTGACTTGTTTGGTGTACCATCAAGTTTCAAAAGAAGGTTATCAATATCAGTTTGTTGTGTGACTTCCAAATTTGACTAAATAACAAATATTCTTATATTAATTAATTAATTAATTATACGAACATACATATCTTTTATATGTATTTAAAAAATTGATAAATTAGCATAAAATTGAAAGAAGTCTGAAAATATTACATTATACATAAATGTTAAACATTCAATACCTTCAACAATTCAGGCGTAATGATACTATTAATATTTTCTACAGCTTTGAAAACAGATTTTCCATGATATTTAGATTTATCATTATCTCGAAGTTCTAAAGCTTCATGAACACCAGTGGAAGCACCTGATGGTACTTCAGCTCTAAATAACCCATCATCTGTGACAAGATCAACCTATAAGTAAAATATGTCATAAGAAACTATAAGAACATTTTATTTTAGTTTAAATTTTTATTTTTAATTAACCGAGGTGAATTACAATGTAAAATTTTATATATAATTAAAAATGAGCAATATACATATATTAATATTATATCAATATTCAACGGAAGTTATATAATACATATTTATGTCAATTTACAAATAATAATTTAAGAATAAAAATTATTATATTAAAATAAATCTTTACTTTACAAACAACAATATAATATATTTAAAATATAATTTAATATACTTAGGTATCTTACCTCTACAGTAGGGTTACCACGAGAATCAAAAATTTGACGAGCCTTAATACTTTTGATTGGCATTTTTTCACTATAATTAGTACTGTATTTTCTGATTAGAAACCTGAAATATATAGAAGTATATAACAATAAAGAAAATATATACTAATCTTAAATGTAGAAAGATTATTAAATACAAATGATTTAGTATGAGAAAGTTATATTCCACCTTCAAACCTTCAAATTACATGTCGGTTATTAATAATTTTAAATATAAATGGATTTTCCTTTAATATTAATATTAAATTTATATTTAAATTGATGTATCTTAAGTAATTTTTTACAAAATATTTGTAAAATTAAGATCAGTAGTAGATGAGTTAGAAATTTAGAAATAATTGGTTTGACCTTGCCAAGGTCACTGGAAGAAATCTAAAAATCTTAAAATTTAGTTAACACTGTTTTTATCTCAAAAATGTAACATACTTCAAAATTAAATATAATGTACTCGAACTATCACATATAATGACCTTATAGTAAAACTTCGGCACTGAATGTACGCGGCACGTATTAAAGTCATTTTTATAGAAATTTAAAGAACAAAACACTGCAGAAAATGTATATATAAAATCTTGATGTTTTATATAAAAATTCCTGGGGATACAATTTCTTACATATACTGCAAAACTAAAGAAAATATCCTTACCTACAATGTATGAGAATCCTCTTGAAGTATTCGCAGTAGAATGACACTGTCCTACAGTTGACCTCAAATTGCAAAGGCAGCTCTCCTATTGATTCTTATAACCTCACGTATGAATGTATAAATCTAATCGCGCAAAAGCGCTAAAACTAGTTTCTCAACTTAGAACTTGAAAATAAGATAAAACGTATAAGATACGAAAAAAGAATTTTAAATTCTTAATTGAAAATAATTTGTTACGATTAAATAACTAAAATTACGTAATATAAGTTGTATTTCTATTTTATTACCGATTAAATGTAAATTTCATTATGATTTACTATCTTTGTATTGTATTGCTCATGTCCTCTATTGCAATTAATTAGTGCGCGTATTTGTGAAATACTGTTGAAATAATTCTTATAAATTATTAAATTCATGTAATTTCAATATTTCATAGAAATATAATAAATAATTAATATTTGTAATATTAATAATATTATAATTAATAATTATAATAAACAATTTGCATTCATATATTTTTGTATATTTAATTATATTTATAATAACAAAGATACTATATTGAATAATTGTAATATTAAGATCATTTATTTCAAAATAAATAATTATATAATATAATATAGGAAACATTAAAAATAAATTTACTATTTTATTAAAGACAATTGAATACATCTTTTCTCCTAAATTAATAAAACTAAAACATATATGAAATTAACATATTAGTATATGAATTCAGTTCAATATGTGAATAATTAAAAAATTATATTACATATAGTACATTAAACATATATTACTTATAACTTTTTCATTATTATTATTATTTGGTTAATATGGGTGCTTTATATCGGTTCTATTTATTTAGAGATTTATTTTAGGTTTCAAATATTTTTTGGGATATTTTGAAAATATTGATACTATTTTACTAGGTAGTTATTACATCAGTAACTAGTTATTTCATTAGGTTACTAAATCACCATACAAATTTCTTATTGTTTATACTTTTAATTTGTATTTTATAATTTACAATTTCTTATAATATGATTTCAATTATTGTTTTTGCATTTTCTTGTTCATAATATATTTTTCCCTATATTTTTATTGTTATATTCGTTTTAGTGAGTATATGTTATGTACAAGAGAAATCATGGTATTCCTTACTTTTTTTAATTTATAACTCTTAAAATTAATTTTATTCTAAATTTTTACAAATTTAATTATTTTTTTAGTTTTAGAGTATTATGCAATAAATAATAATTTTTAAAAATAAATATAAAAATTATATTTAATTGTGATTATTAATGATAAGAAATTTTTAATTTTTAATAAAAAATTAACTATTTTTTTAATTTTAGAGTATTATGCAATAAATAATAATTTTTTTAAATAAATATAAAAATTATATTTAATTGTGATTATTAATGATAAGAAATTTTTAATTTTTAATGAAAAAATCTTGAAATTAATATAATTTAATTAAAGATTTGATTTAGGATGTATATATATATAAAATTCATTTAGAGTTATTAATGTTATTATAATATAAATGCTGTATCAAACAAGTGTTTGTTTTAATTGTCTTTCATTTTTGTTGTTTTACCTATTTTATAAAAATAAATAGATAAAATCTAGCTTTTTATTATTTTTTTGATTAAATTCAAGTAATAATTGTATATAATAATTCTTCTTTATAATTTTATTTTTAACTATTACGTTTTGTAAATATATCTGAATTTAAAACAAAACAATTATATTTAATAACTTAGATAATATACCAAATTAAATAAAGGATATAATATTTTATAGAAGATATCTTGTATAAATTTTTTAAATGTTTTTGGTAGTTCAGATTATTAGAGTCTAAAACAACATGTAACATTAAAATATTAAAAGAATATGTATCTATTCGTAATATGAAATATACAGATTTATATAGTTTCTTTCAACCCAAATGTAAAATACCATTTTATATTTTATGTAAATTCATATTTCTTTCCCTTTTTTGTAAAACTCAAATCTTTCTTTTGTGCCTTTCTATGATTATATATGATACTTTTATATATTAATATAAAGCTTATCATTTAAAATTTAATGAAATTAGTTTTTTGTGGAAAAATACCTATAGATAGCTATACAAATTAACGCATTGATATAAAAAATTTTTAATCATAAATTAATTAGAATTTGCTCATATTTATACATATTCAATTAATTTTTTAGTTATTAATTTTTTTAATTTAAGATTTATAAACATATGTATATTCAATAAGTATTAAGTTACATTTATAAAAGATATCAAATTTTGTACAAATATTATTTTTGTTGAAAGTTTATTAAAAAATATTCAATTTTTATGATACAATTTGTACATGTATAATAATATATTCCTAAAAATTAAATTTACAATTTTTTCATTTACAATTTCAAAAATGAATTCTAAATTAGTGAGTTGTTATAATATTAAATATTTAAATACTTATAATTTTTGAGAAATACATGTTTGATACATGAACTGACCAAAATTAATTAAATAAATATTTACATTTAGCATTAAACTATTTTTATAACTAAGTATTACTATATTCATAAACAAAATAGTAATTATTATATTACAATCATTTAATATTTTATCAATTTATGAATTGTATTCTTAAAGGCATAAATATTTTATTTTTTCAACAGTTCATCTGCACCATTGTCTTATTAATTAAAATAAACCTATAGAGATCAAAATATTTTAAAGAAGGCACTCTATATATTATACATGTTATAAATGTAAAGAAAGTGCCAATATTGTAAAATGAAGGTAATTTTATCGCTTGAATGTTTCATGTATCTCATACCTATAAAAGGGCGATACATTATTTGATAACATTATTAAAATTGCTGTATTTTGAGAAATGCATCTATTCTGTATAGAATATTATATTATTTCAGCTTTACGACTACTTAAACTTTTTTTTATTAATGCCCAATCTTCAAGAATATCTGCATCATTAAGCATATAAACAATATAAGGTCCAGCAACAGACACAGCTCTTCTTCTTTCAGTATGATTTCTGCGTCTTCTACCATTAGAATTTAACCATAAATCAGCATGAATATCAACATTATTTCTATCTTCCTCCAATCTACGTATTTTCTCTTGTAAGTCATTATGAATGCAGTCCCAGATTAATTCTTTCTCACTCTCAAAATTTTGTAATGCAGCTTGTTCTTCTGCTAAAAATTTATTTTGGATATTTTGTAGTCTATATTGCTTTAATATTCCAGCTACTTCTGTCTTTGTTTTCATATTTTCTTTTAATCGTTCTAATGGTATTAAATATTCTTCAGATTTTCCTACTCGAACTTCTCCTAATTTTGTATCTACTTGGGTAATTCTCTCACGGTAAAGCCTAAAATAATAAAAATTAAAATGTCAAACTTACAATGACAAAATTTATTCTATAAAAACATTATATTTAAAACTTACTGTTCTTTAAGAAGTGTAAATTGTCTTTCTAAATCTACTAAGTTTTCCATGCATTCATTACGTCGCCTTTCACATTCATCTTCATCCATCTCTGAAGAATCATCACTGTCAGTGTGTTCTGCACTACTATCACACGATGCAGAACTTTGGTTACTTTCATTACTGTCATGAGACATTTCTTCTCCTTCTGCTTCAGATTCATCTTTGACGCTTGGCATCTGTCTAATTGTTAAACTTATTTATAAAATTATAGAAATAGCAACAAAATGATATATTTTTATATATTTTTAGTATATATAAAAATGTTCAAATTATATTTAATTTAATAGGTTTGAAAATATTTAATTTTAAAATAACATAACCTTAAATATATTGTTTACAGTACATCATACATTACATAAATTATTTCAATATTTGTGAAAGTATATTACAAATTATATTGTACTGTAGACTAATGAAACTGTAACTAATGTTAACATAAAATTAATATTCTAATAATATTAATATTTTTATAACTAAAAATTCGAGAAAATTCTCTTAAGTTATTATTTACTAAATCTCACTTTTAATAACATTACTTGTATACATATATATATATATATACTCACTATTAAATAATTATATACTTTTCTTTTCAAAATGATATAAAATAGTCAATATTTTGAAAATAAAAGTTTTGTCACAATATATAGTATCAATTATTTCTATCTGATCACAGTTATTGTACGTTTACATGAAACAAATACTCATTCACTCCAACCAACTTTGTATCGTTATATTCACTAACTAAACGAGTGTACTGTAATAAATGAGCGCGAATTTCTCGGAATGGGCAGCAAATGAGCATTCATTCGTTTAATATAAACACATAATTCGATAATCAGTTAGAAATAGTTGATTTTGCCAATGATAATGCGACAAAACATTTATTTTCAAAATATTGACTATTTTGGCATTATTTAAACCAAAAAAAAAAAATTCATATGTGTGTGTGTGTGTGTAATTTAATAATAAATATAGCATCACACATGCGGTGTTCTTATTGAAAATGCGCCATAAAGTTTTGAAAAGACATCTAAACATATTGACTACCTATTAACTAAACCATATTGATGTGACATTTAATAAATTTTTGGGTTGCATATTATATCTGGGAGCTTTAGAATTTCCTTATCATTTTCGTTATATCGATCGTTATATCTATTGTATCGATTTAAACTTTGCCATAGACGAGGCCATAGACGACACAGATCAGGTATATGGATAGATATTGCATACAATGCTTTTTCGGCTACGATTTCGAGGCATCCTGTACCCCGTTACCATTTTCGTGTCACATCCTATCGTACCGATTCAGGCAAGTTTTGTACCGCGAAAATCAAAATCTATTGACTATATTGCCAGATTTGTTTCGAGAATTATTTATTGAATTGAACGTGGTGGTACTTCATTAAGGAGAAGGAATATAACGATTCAAATAGGTTTAAAACAGAGATTGATGAAAATTGGGATAAAAAATTTAGATAAAAAATATATTTGATTATTGACATCTATTTAAAAGTATTAGAAAAAATTGATTGAAATATGATATTTTTACGAACAATATAATTAGATATAACGTTTTTTAATTTACAAATTTGTAAGTTCACAACCTGAATGAATTATTTTTATCCCGTGAGCTCGATTTTATGAAAGGTTGATCTTATCAATAAAATATTTCTACAAATATTGTTTGCAATAAAGAAGCACATTATGTGTTGTAAATTATTTTTTGTAAAATTCATCGGTCGAAATTTCGAAGTCAAATTTACTTTTTTAAATGATACCATACATATTTTCTTTTTTACAGTACAAGGTTATTTATTAACATATTGCGGATGGATCATGAGTTTACTCGTATTTTCTACACGGTGTCGAGGTGTTTACATCAGTAATCAATGTATTAAATTCGATTGCCTTCATGTTTTTTTTACTTATTTACTGGTTTTGATTACATTTTGGTAATTCGAATAGTTACTATTTTCATCTTCAAGTTCCTCGTACTTTTAAAAATGACCTCTTTTAGAAAACGGAAGGAAACGAACGAAACTGAAATACTTTCGGAAGTTTTTGACTATAATTTATCAGATGTTCCTAGTGAGAATAAAGATGCGAATGATTGTATGAATGGATGTTTTGATGATTGTGAAGACGATTCTAGTGACAATGACATTATTAGACCTGTAAAGAAGCGTAAGGTGGCAGTGCTTTCAAGTGATTCCGACACTAGCAATGAAGATGATTCTGTTCTAGTAAATGATTCGTTTTGTCATAATAATGACAATTATTGGTCTGAAATTGATATTCCACCACGCTTACAAATATTTGAAGGTCATCCTGGGGTCATTACATTTCCATCTCAGTGTGACTCTGTAGCCTCTGTGACTAGCCTGATGTTTGATGATGACTTGTTTGAAATGTTTTGCAAGGAGTTGTGTACTTATGAAACGTAAAATATCGTCTAAAGCACTCAAGTGGTCTCCTGTTACACAAAAAGACATGAAAAAATTCCTTGGCCTAATTCTTCTAATGGGACAAATAAGAAAAGATAGCTGCAAAGATTATTGGTCAACAGATCCTCTAATAATTAGCCCTATATTTTCACAGACTATGAGCCGCAATAGATTTGAGCAAATATGGACATTCTGGCACTTTAATGATAATACAACAATAGACAATAGCTCTGAAAGACTCTTCAAAATTCAACCTGTGCTAGATTATTTCCTCCATAAATTCAGGACAATATACAGACCAAAGCAACAGTTATCTTTGGATGAGAGAATGATTCCATGGAGAGGATGCCTAAGGTTTCAAACGTACAACCCTGCAAAGATTACAAAGTATGGTTTACTTGTTAGGATGGTGTGCGAGAGTGACACAGGCTATATCTGCAACATAGAGATTTACACTGGTGAAGAGAAGAAATTGGAAGAAACTTCTTTCAGTTCTTGGTCCTTATCTTGGTATGTGGCACCATATCTATCAGGACAGTTATTATAACAGTACCTATTGCTGACTTATTATTGAAAAACAAAACTAGAGTCTGTGCAAGTATTAAGGTAAACAGAGGCTTACCGCCAAGTCTGAAAGCCAAAGCATCAAGAATGGAGAAAGGTGACACAGTATTCTGTAGAAAAGGTGACGTTTTTCTTCTCGTATGGAAAGACAAGCAAGATGTCAAGCAATGATATCAACAATTCATGACATTTCTGTCTCAGATACAGGAAAGAAAAATAGAAAAACTGGAGAGTATATAGTAAAATCTGTGTGTATAAATCAATACAATGTTCACATGAAAAGAGTTAAACGTGCGGATCAGTACCTTTTATATTATCCTATTCTAAGGAAAACGATGAAATGGACAAAAAAAGTCATCCTTTATCTCATAAACTGTAGACTTTTCAATTGTTTTTGAATCTATAATATCCTGGATCCAGAGAAAAAAATAAAGTAATAAGCAGTTTCTCCTTTTGGTGGCAAAATGTTGGATTAGTGACAATGATAATGAAGGCTCTCCGAAACCAGAGAGAGATTTAGCCCTTTCCCTGGTGGTGGAAGGTTGTCAGGTGACATGAAGCAGCATGAACCTGTGTTTATTTCAAGCAATGGAAAAAAGAAATTTCCTACCAGAGTCTGTAGAGTTTGTGCTGCTCAAGGAAAAAGAAGTGAAACGAGATATATATGCAAATTTTGTATGGTTCCTCTTCATAGAGAAAAATGTTTTACACAGTACCATACTTTAAAAAAGTACTAGAAATTTTTTTTATATATAAGCTCTATGCTAAATACAATATATGAAATAATTGAATAATTGGAACTATAAATAATAAGGTCTCCTTGATAAATCAGACCAAAAGATTCAGGGATAATTTTTGCATACTGTCTTAATGTAATGCTAAGTGCATACTAACAATGGTAAAATCTGTAACAAAGGAACAGATCCAACACAAAATGGGCACTACAAGAATAAGAGTCTATTTTTTGTGTTTGATGTATTACTTCTTTATTACTACTGTATTACTTCTTTTGCACATTATTATGGACTATGTTGATTATTTTTGCATGTAGTTTATAATTTTATCAAGATTATAGTTCATAAAAAATAGTAATTCTATGCATGCATTGCAAATTATTGTTTCATAATGTGAAATAATGTTTTATATTCAAACACTGAAAGTGTAAAATAAATATAAAAAGTTGATGAGATATAAACTCATTTATAGTTAACTGCAAAAAAAACAGCCTGCCGCGGCCATTAGGGTAAATTGAAAAAAAAATCCGGTCTTTAATGTGTTAAAACGCACTCACTGACTGAAATCATTTATTGTTATAAATTGTTAATAAAAATGATTTGAAATATGAGTGATTTAATGACATATATGTCAGTATTAACATTTTATGAGTTTAAAACATTCCTCATTCATATTTTTCACCATTCTGATTTCTGGTGAATTTGTAGATTAATCACTCGTTCACAAATTTTGACGATCACTAAATATCATTTAGAAATCGATACCCTGAACGACTCTTTCCTCTAACAAACAATGTCTCCTACATACGCGTTACAAGAAAAAACTATTCAAAATATCTTAACAATACATTAAAAAATCACTGAAATCGCTGAAGGAGTAGTTAGTTTTACCTAATTGCCTTTGTTATTTTGCGCAATAACAAAAGAAAAGAGAGTTATAAAAGGACCAACGCAAGTTTCGGTTTTCCTGATGAAAGCATAGTTGCCACAACTTAGGCATCTCACATGGTTGCCACATTTCTGTTATTGTTCTGTCTGTCAACTCGATGAAATGGTTAAACTAGCGAAATAGACGAGTTAGAAGATTTTTGGTATGTTTCCGAATCCGGCCGAGCTCAACCAAAATTATCCGATTCGGCCCGAAGTTTCAACTACTCGCATTCGAACATTTGGGCAAATTTTTATTTAAATAATGAGTGATAATTAAAGGTAATAATTTTAAATAAAATTTAAATCGTATTAAATAAAATCATTTAAATGATATCAAAAATAACTTAATCCATACTTTTTAAGGATGTGCGGGTACGCAAAATTTCGGGTTCGGGCTCGCACAAAGTCGGGCGGGCTCGGGTAGCCCGATGATTTCGAGTTGGAAAAAGTTCGAAGGGGATAGGATCAGAGATGAGTATTCGAATAACATTCCAAATAAATTCTTCGAATAACATTTTATTCAAAATATTTACTGAAATAATGTAAAGAAAAAAAATCAGGAGTCCTTTCTTCGCAATTTTGGTTTATTTAATAAATTTGCCTTTAGTACAATTTTTTGTTCGAACATTTTGTTAGTTAATCTGTTTGCTTTAGGCGAGTTTGTTGTCGTTGCAAATGAAAACAAACGTACTGGAGCAGAAGATGGCGAAGGAGTGTTATATTTCAAAAATATATTTTTAATTATGGGATATGCGTCCAGAGATATGTAATCATTTCTGTTCAATTATCTGTAAAAAATTGTAGTACAAGAATTTCTACGTTATCATTTGTTTGTAAATGTTGTTCGGTTGAAGTAGATTCCGTTTTATTAAATGTTAAAAGCAAAGCAAATTTATTAAATAAACCAAAATTGAAAAAAATGTACTCCTGACTCTTTTTCTTTATATTATTTCAGTAAATATTTTGAATAAAATTTTTACTGTGCGAAGAAAAATTATTCGAACACGCCCAACTATGTGTTCGAATAATTTTTCTTCGAATAAAATCGTTACTCGTAAGGAACGGATAATACTAGCAGGAACTTCACTTTAAAACACATGGCCCTCGACAACAAATTTCGAGTGAATTTGGGAACGATATACATGTGGCTGCAGTACGGCTGTGCGCCACACGTTGCCAGCAGGACACCGTCTCCTTTAAACATCTATAACTTCGCTAATTTTACGAATTCAAACAAATTCTTTTACATAAATTTAACATTCTCGGAAACATGCACTTTGAGAAAATGTAAAAAAAAAAAAAATCGATTTTTTGAAGCCGAAAAACCGGAATACCCCCTTAAAATAAATGTAAGCATAGTGATGTAATTCAGTAATATGTACAGAGGCAGAAACCAGTAAATGTTACAGAATAAATGATTGGCGAAACATATCCAGCTGTCTCCCAATATTATCCAATGTATTTCGCATTAATAAATATACCTCTGAAATTAACTTAGAAGCATTAAACTAGGATTCACTTTTATTTTTCTTAAAATAATGCGTTTGTCTCGGTCGTTAAGTTTTCGTGGAATTGATTCAATTCAGTCCTCATCATCGTATCTCCGTACAATATCAGCCACGGTACTTACTTAATTTTAAAAGATGACCTATTTCTCGATACGTTTTTCCTTTTTCTCGGTGAAAAATAACTAATTGTCATACGTCAATAAATCGAAAAACGAGTTAAAACAACGATTAATCGAAGAACGGTCAATTACTTAAAGAAAATTACTGGAAATATGCCTAGACGTCTGCGATATGCAATTGAAGTTAAGGGCTATCCAACAAAATATTAATTATTGTTTATGTTAACAATTTTCAGGTTTAAATATTATAGTTCTTTAAATGTCCGAATATTTATGTC